GAGAGGGAGGGAAGAAGAGAGAAAGAGAGAGAGAGAGAGAGAGAGTCACAGAGAGAGAGAGAGAGAGAAAGAGAGAGAGATTTTTAACAGGTCTGTCTCATTGAGAGATTGCAGGAAATAGACGGCAAGACCAACAGTGGAAGAGACTGAGAGAATATGTATGGCAGCATGGTGAAATCAGGCGCTCCTCAAAATAATGAAATCAGAGAAATGGACATTTTTCTGCCCATCGGGCATTTTTATCAACTTTTTTTTGCACAGCACATTTCTGTGTGGATTTTACTGAAAAACAACAGTCAAAGGATGTAAGTTGGGAGTTTCCAAGGTCACTCAAGCTTTGGAAGTCACCAAACTTTGGTGGCTATTTTCTTGCTAATTTTACCTCTGACACCAGGCAACCCTCCCTTCTCCTTCAATTGCAAATATCTCTACTTCTATTTAAGAAAACTGGGTATTTTTTCTGTCAAAATCAAGGTAAATGAACAAGCTTTAAAATTATATAAAATCTCTGAATGCCCTAAAATAGATGAGTTCCTGATTCCACCATGTCGTGACACATATTGTGCTGTAGGCCTTGGTATGGTATTCCATCTAGGTTGTGTTTGTTATTGTTATGATCAACTAATCTATTGAGGACTAATCGATAAAGCCAATTATCATGAAACTTAGTGTCTCATTGGCATCAAAGACATAAAATGATGAAAATGACGTTTAATTTTAACTGAATTTTGAATCCATATATAGATATCTATATTTCACATTCTAGTTAATGTTCACTGGAAGCTCTTTCTTTGCAGAGTACCACTGATACTGTCAAAAAGAAGTTATCGGATACCTGCAATCTGTTCCATGAGTGACTTCTGCCTCTTGGAATGGCTTGTTAAAACTCCCGAATCTGGTGCTGTTGTTAAAACTCACAAATCCACTTCGCATAAGTCATTCATAATATAATAACCTCTTAGTACTGTCAGATCTGCTCTAATGGCTACCTGTATAAGACAATCACCTGTACGAACAGCCACTTTGCATTTCTCCCTTCAAGTTGTTGTTTTTTTAATATGTTTTTTCTACATTATTATGACACCCCGTGAGACGGTGACTTTTGTCTTTGACTATGAGTGGACATCTTGAACAGTTTCGACTGTGTCTGATGAAAAGTTACGGTTCAATTTCCTTTTTAAAAGGAACTCAGTTGTTGTGTGTTTGTTTCTTTCTGTTGTTGCTTTATGGAAAGCTTCTTGTTGGACTACGTCTGACCATTGTTTGAATGTTTAATGTTACCACCTAATAAGTATCTGTGGTCAAATGGGCCACCTCTTTGCTTAGTCTGCAAGTTTATATAAATGACCAAGATAAATTTCTCCCAGCGAGATCAATAAAGACTGTCATTATCAAAAGATGTGAGTTTGTTTAGTCGTGGGAAAGTTTATTTTATTATATAATGTGTCTTCTCCCTCTGTGGATGGGCTGGGAGAAGAGATTTTTATTTTATCTGAGAACATATCATTTAGTGCTTCTAAGTATTTTAAAGTTCATTTGTTTGTCATAGCCAACATTGTGATGCTAACTTATTAGTACATGCCTTCTCTTCTGAACTTTGCACATTTTACCGCTAGGAGTTCTGAAAAGATTATTGCTCACACTGCCAGGGGTCACCGTCCTGCACTCAAACAAAACAGCAAAAGCAACTCATTCTGGAAAAAGGTACAATTATAGATTGTATGTCATTTTATTGCCATTTTGGTCATAACTATTATTGATATTTTGATAAAACTATTTTTGTTATATTCATCATCATCCTTATTTTCATTGTTATCATCATCATCATCATCATCATCATCATCATAAACGTTCATCATTATTATGGATATTGATGAAAAAAATGTCTTCAGCATATCTTCGCCATTATGATAAGATTGGATAGCTACAACAATTGGGGGGGGGGGGTCGCAAAACGTTTTCTACAAAGCATGTTTCATATGCTGGTTTAAAATTTACATTCTAATAAACAGCCAAATGTGAATTTTTTTTACATCATGAAAATTGGATGACTGTAAGCCGCCCTTTTAATAAATCAGTTTTTTTCCTTCTCCTGAAAAATTTAGCTGACGTCACTTGTCCCATCTTATCACGCCAGTGACGATATATTTATATGTACATTACCATGGTGTCACTAGAGTTAAAAAAATACAGTATAACACGGATAGGTTAAACACAGAAGACTTGAAATCACGCTTCCGCCGAACTGTGCCTGCGGTCCTAGTTTTCTTTTCTTTTTTATCTTTGTAAGATATCCCTCGAACTCCGGATCCCTCGAACTACCGAGGCCGGTCCAGATGAATTCTAGCTATCTGTGTTATACTGTGTAATTATTGAGTATTGTCGGCCAGCTGTTCAGATGTACTAAGCCTAAAGATTTGAAATTCTTCTTTATTGCCATTTTTTAAATTGGGGTGCGGATGCATGAGATTGAGAAACATTCTGTCGGAATTCAAATTCTGAATGTTTAAAAAAGCAAAATAAGTTTTCAAAAGTTTGAAACTGTTTTTCATCTCTCTTGAGAAATTATGTTTTCTGTGCTTACACCAACTGAACAGCTTGCGGACGGTATGGTTTTTATATGTGAGGTGTGCTGACAAAATGAGGTGCTTCTTGGATTTTAGCCTTATTGAAATTAACACATCAGCTTTGTAGGTAGGGGGGGTTTGTACAATTTGTAGGGAATAATAAAAGACACGATAGACTTGAACTGTATGGCATCGATTAAAAACCTATCTGATCCCAGTGTCAATTTTCTGCGGATATTCCCATTCCTGGATTGTGAGAAGTAACCCATTTTGTTTGCATGCCGTACATATTGTAGTCTTGTTGGTGTTATTTTTATTGTTGCTAACCTTGTGTTATATTTATAGCTTATTTTCTTGTTCTTGGTGCCATTATAATGTTTGCTAGCTATGCCAAATACTCGTGTCAAATACTGATGGTGTTATGCTTTCACTGTGTTACTAGAAGAAGTCAACTCTTTTTTTTTTGTTCTTAGCTCTTCTTTTTATTTATGGAAGATTATTCGTCCTTTTTATGCAGAGAATTTTGTCATCCAAGTTTTCAACATCGCAAACTTTTCCTATGACTCCGCTCCTATTTAACTAACCTATTTGCATAAAATAAGCACCAAGCTGAGTCGAAATGAATGATTCAAGCAGTAAACATTAGACAGATTTATTATAGGTAGATGATTTTGCTGAGGTTTGGTAAATTTGTACTTATGACTGAGACATAGACAATGGAGTGTTGCTATGAGCCAGCTGAAATAACGTGCCGCATACCAAGAGTTAAGCTATTGCCAAGGTTTATCTGTGGATTGTCAAT